TTATCAAAAAATTGTGCCGGAATTTTTTCTTGATTTACCGGAGCTCCGGTATTTTACAGTAGAATTTTGTGCTCTGGAGCCATTTGACATTATTTATATTCGCTTCTATCACAAAAGAATCCATTACAAAATTCAAAGCCGAGAACGAGTTAATTGAGCAGTAAAACAAGGACTTGTGTAGTTGAACGCGACATATGTAATATAATACTGTAATATGGCAATGCTAAATGATATATACTATATAATTTTTTTCTTTATCAAATTCGAGATGTGCCGCAAAAAAGATCCGAACGGATCCGTTATTTTTAATGGGCATTTTACAAAGTGTATTCGAACTATATAGAACTGTACATATAATTAATATAGAAAATACACTACCAGCAACAGGCTCCACTTATCTCTCACGTGTACCTGTAGCCAATAGCAGGCTTCCAAACTCACTGCATAAACCGGGACCTGCTATTGGTGATAGACGCATGAGAGAGACAAATGGTGCCTGTTGCTTTTAGTGTGTTTTTCATACAGTATTAATTATATTAATTATATGTATAGTTTCAGTTCTGGTACCCTTTATGAAATGTTACATTAAAAATAGCGGATCCGCTCGGATCTTTTTTGTGGAACACTATGTGCCGTACACAATTATTGTCGTGCGGATTGAAAATGATGTGAATCTTTTTTTAGGGTTGAGTCAATAAAAATAGCAAAAACGATGTTTTTGCCACACACATATATATATATATAACTTTTTTTCGCTTATATAAGCGCTATTATTACCGATAAGCACTTATGCTTACAGTAGAATAGCGTTATTCGAGATTCAGATTAACAATTTTTGATAGGCGCGTGATCCGCGCGTGATGCACTCATAATACACTATATGTAAAATTTTCTGTTTAAATCCTATAAAATAGGTTTAGATCTTACTATTGACACCCAATAACAAGAATCCTCTTGAATAATGCTCTGGACCACACGTGTGCAGTATAAATGTATATAAGTGTATATAAGTGTATAAGCAAGAATTGATTAAAATCCCGCACATCACTACCTCTAATTATAGTTTAAATTTACATATCGATAACAGATAAATTGTAATACGTAGTTAAATAATAACAATAATAATAATAAATAAAGTTTTATGTAATAAAACAATATCGTTTTTTTAGCATTTACTACGTAAAGCACTACCACTACGCATAGTATTTTACACATACAGTATCAGATATCGTTAATAGTTAGATTAATAAATTTAGTAACGTATGATCATAAGCGCTTATTACTGTATACCTACGCGTATAATACGTATTGATCAGGTTCTTTAGGCTAATACTTGAATTATTCATATATATAAACCTAATCCGAACACGCTAATATGAAGTATAGTCCTAATCCTAACCTTGACTACTGTATCTGCAGATAGTACGTATAACCTACTATATAACTGATAACTGATAATATATTATTATACGTATATATATATGTCATACGCATATACGTATATGTCATACGCTTGTCTTTTTTTAAATCCTACAGAACTTCTTTTGTACTTCCGACTATTACTATATGCAACACCGTAAAATTCCATAGGTGCACTGACGATGTACGTACGTACGTCTTACCTCCCAATCTCTTAATTATTTTGATGGTCTAGATTTTACTATAACTTTAATTTAGAATAATGATACGCAAATATTAAAACATCTTACTTTTCGTTTATTACGTAATGAAAATAAAAGATTAACTTTATTTATTATATAGTCATAATTGTATAATCTAGACCAAACACTAACGCTAAAGTAAAATAGTTTTTAAGTTGATTACTAATTATAATAAAAGATACGTGACAAATATAGAATACACAAATCTTTTACGTACACTAATCCTAGGTACTCGGGTAATATACAGATATACATAAATAATGTATCCAGCATATCGTTAACGTCATATCGATACTTCAGATAATATCACGTGCTATATTGGGAGGTTTACATATTAGTGCAGATATACGTATTCAATGTGTGATACAGTATTTAAACTTTAAATTTAATAAAAAAATTCTTACATTAACGTTAATTAATTACGTATAAGTTATTAAATGATTTGCGTTCAAAAAATCAATGTATTAAACTACGTAAAATTAATTATTTTAATTTAAAACCATACTGTATTTTGTTAAAATACATTACTGTTACGTATTCACCTTGTAAATTTTATATAAAAACAGGGTAAAATCTCAGCTTTAGCCAATCTTAGCTTATAACTACTACAATTATTTTACAGTATAAAATTCTCCTGTTAGTGCAATTATTGATAAATATATTTAAGCTAAGTTTGAGTTAATAATTTTGAATAGTGTTTATTATATCCTGAAAATTAAATTCATCCCAAATACATTGGATTTTTTTTAATTAACGTTAAAGACTAAATACAATAATCAAGGACATCAATACTGTAGCAAATTTAACGTATAATGATTGCATGCGAAGCATGCAATAACGGGCTTTTATCCAATGTTTATTATGGTTAGCTTATAAGATTAGATTAATAATTTGATCATAGAAATGCAATAAAATTGCAAATTAGCTGATTTTATAAGCTGATATCCTGCATATACGTAAAAGTTTCCGTTTTTATTTATGGATTTATGCGTAGACCGACGTCGATCTCTTAATGCCGTACGTGCGTACGTATTGGTATCGATATCTTTTTGCATGTTTTCTCTCGATTTATTTCTACATTTCCGAAAATTCCCGTTAATGATTTCTGGCCGGGTTATATCGTTTGGCCCGAATTATGCTGCATTATTATGAATTTTGATAGATGATGGTTATTAATTTTGATAGGATAATGATTATTAATACAGTAATAGCGTGAGGATTATTAATGAAGGCGTACGGTTACACGACAAAAAATGTCGAAAGAATATCGATTTGACCTAAAAAAATATCGATTTATACTTATTAAAGCTCTGACTTTAGCACAATAAGAATTCGATTCACTGGGTTTGTTTTTCAAATACGGTAAGTACCCGGTGTTATATATACCTACGGTAAATAATGATCATACCTGATACGACGCCCTATATAAATCTTACGATTTAACGATATATGACGATGATGCCATTGCGAAATAAAAAAAGCGAGTTTTTTTTTTTGGCAATCGTTTTTTCCATGAATGATATCAATATAAAAAACAGGATTATCGACGTGATGAACGTTTTTTTTTGGGGGGGAGAGACATTTAAATGCTTGATAAGCTTCCATTGAAAACACATTGTTTTTCCTTTTCCGAATTGGTAATCTATCTAAACACAATAGGATCAACTTTGCCTATCTATATGTACGTACGTACGTATTTGAAAACAAATAATATGTTTTTGTCACGTGCCAAACAACGAAAAGATATTCTATTCCTTTTATTCGAATCATATGGGATCTTTGCTAGGAAAATGGCCTTCCGAGGCTATGTTAATTTTGTGAATAAAAATCAAATTTGCTAGCAACCTAATTATCCAATTTGAGTGAACTTTCTTTTTTTTATTTAACTCTACAACATAAAAAAAAAGAGTTCATTCAAATTGAATAACTAGATGACTGGTAAATTTAAGTTTTATTCACAAATCAATATAGCTTCGGAGGGTCATTTTCCCAGAAAAGATTCCATATATCAAATCTATACAAAAACATATGCATCTACGCACCACATATTTGTTCTGAGGGAAGACCATAGAGTCTATCCAGGTATACTTTCCGAACATCACAAATTGTCTTTAGGTTCGGATTTACAAATTTCTTAAAGTTCGGATCTGGTGTGTTACAAAGTGCGCCTATAAACGTAATATTTATAAAATAATATAAATATTATTTTAAATGGAGATTTGATTCCTTTATACCGATACCGTTTCTATGCCATGAGAACAGCCGATTCCCACAGAAACTTAAGGCATAATCTTTATATCATATCATCAGATATTCAGAAGTTACGTAGTTATCTCGAATATCTACCTTTTTGCCCAATTTCCTTAACCAGAAATGCTTTATTGACAGGCGGTGTGCTTACATGTGTTGTTGAATTAATGTGTATTCAATATATTTTGGATTAACGATGTTAAACTTCTTTTTTTTCTTGCCATCAAAAAATATTATATTTTGCCTATTTTATAGTTTTTAATTTTTAATTCCTAATGAAATAAATTAAAAACCCATAAACGGATTTAACTGATCGTACCATCTCAAACTAGACTTTGCATTATCTGCGTAGTTTAAAAAAATTTTTGTTCAACTTAAATATAAAAAGCCATTATTTCTTAATCTTTATTTATTAATAAACTTAGTTACTCTTATTTTACCATTCATCTTTTTTTTTTTTTTTGTCCGGTTGCCCTTCTTTTTTGGCATTGGCATCGGATAGGAGAAACGATATATCCTGAGACAAAAAAATTTTTTGAGAATAATTTGATTGGTTATTATCCGCCAAAAGTTTAAAAAAAATCTTTGCAAAACAATAATTATAAAATATGGCTCGCGACGTTCATAACCCTCTTCTTTTTGAAATAGCTTGGGAGGTTGCAAACAAAGGTAATTTATATGATCTTGCAATATTCTATCTAGTGTTATTCTAATATTATTCTAATGTTATTCTAACATTAATGTCATCCTAATGTTATTCTAACATTAATGTCATTCTAATGTTATTCTAATGTTATTCTAACATTAATGTCATTCTAATGTTATTCTAATATTTTTTTAATGTCATCCTAATGTTATTCTAATGTTAATCACAACTTTTTTTCTTCTGTGAAATATACGTAGTTGGTGGAATATACACTGTTATAAAATCAAAAGCTCCCGTTACTGTTCACGAATATGGCGATAGCTACACTTTAATTGGCCCTTTAAACTATAGAACTGCTGCTGCTGAAGTGGAATCTGAACCTGTGTCTAATACTCACATGAGAGAAATTCTTGAGGATATGACTTATCAAGGTATCAAATGGATGTATGGTAGATGGTTAATCGAAGGTGCTCCTCATGTCCTTCTCCTTGATACTACTTCTATCATTGAGAGGCTTGATTCATGGAAGGCTGATTTATGGAATGTGGCTGGTATTCCCTCTCCTCCAAATGATCAAGAAACAAATGATTCGGTTCTTTTTGGTTACCTCGTTGCATGGTTCTTGGGTGATGTAAATATTTAATTCCTTCCTTTTCGATACGTGTCACCGTGTAACTGTGTTTATCATGTAACGCGAAATCTTTTTCTTTCTAGTTTGTTGCCAGAGAAAAAACCAGAGCTGTAATAGCTCATTTTCACGAATGGCAATCTTCATGTGCTATTCCTCTTATGCGTAAAAGACGTACTGATTTGACTACCATCTTTACCACTCATGCTACCTTATTGGGTCGTTATCTATGTGCTGGTTCCACTGATTTTTACAATAACATTACTAAATTTTCTGTCGATGAGGAAACTGGCAAGCGTGGTATATATCATCGTTATTGTATAGAACGTGCCGCTGCCCATTGTTGTGATGTGTTTACCACTGTGAGTCAGATTACCGCTTTTGAAGCTGAACATTTATTAAAAAGAAAACCAGGTAAAATATTATAGAAATTTTATAATATTGTATTTTTATCTACACTTTTAACTATACTTTACTTATTATACTTTACTTATTATACTTATTATTTTTTATTTATTTATTTATTTATATAAGATGGTGTACTTCCTAATGGTTTGAACGTAATCAAATTTTCTGCCATGCATGAATTCCAAAATTTGCACGCAAAGAGCAAAGAAAAAATTCATAATTTTGTTCGTGGCCATTTTTATGGTCATTATGATTTCGATCTTGATAATACTTTATATTTTTTCACCGCTGGTCGTTATGAATATAGAAATAAAGGCGTTGATATGTTTATAGAATCTTTAGGCCGTAAGTATCTTATTATCGAATTTCATATTTTATTTTTTAATATAAAACTTATAAAACTTATAAAACTTATAAAACTTATAAAACTTTAATTATTTATCATTCTTGGTCAACTTTTTATTATTAGGTCTTAATGCTCGTCTAAAAGCTTGTAACTCACCAATGACGGTCGTTGCTTTTATCGTAATGCCTGCTGCTACACAATCATTTGCTGTTGAATCTCTAAAAGCACAAGTTGTAACAAAACAACTTCAAGAGACTGTAAAAGAAATCACTGATCGAATTGGTCAGAGAATATTTGAGAAAGCTGCTCGATACACTGGGTAAATAAATGTTTATAATTATAATTCGACTATTAACATTGACTGTTAATATTGACTGTTAACATTGACTGTTAATATTGACTATTAACATTGACTGTTAATATTGACTATTAACATTGACTGTTAATATTGACTGTTAATATTGACTATTAACATTGACTGTTAATATTGACTATTAATATTGACTATTAATATTTTTTTTTTAATGTTAATATGATTTTCAGTGGTGATATAAATGACGCTGTCATTGATCCTCTTGAACTTCTCACTAATGAGGAAAAAGTGCTTTTAAAACGTCGTGTAATTGCTCTCAAACGTAGTACTTTACCGGCCATAGTTACACATAATATGTGTGATGATAATGATGATCCAATTTTAATGCAATTACGTCGTCTTCAACTTTTTAATCATCCAACCGATCGTGTGAAAGTAATTTTCCATCCTGAATTTTTAAATTCTAATAATCCTCTAATTGGTTTGGATTACGATGACTTTGTTCGTGGTTGCCATCTTGGTGTTTTTCCCAGTTATTATGAACCTTGGGGATACACTCCTGCTGAATGCACTGTAATGGGTGTACCTTCAATAACAACTAATCTATCTGGTTTTGGTTGTTTCATTGAAGAAGTTGTTGAAAATTCTTCTGATTATGGTATATACATAATAGATCGTAGAATGAAATCCGTTGAAGAATCTATTCAACAAATTGTTGATTGTATGTTACAATACTGTCAAAAATCAAGACGTCAAAGAATTAATCAACGTAATCGAACTGAAAGATTATCCGATTTATTGGATTGGAAATTAATGGGAATGGAATATGTTAGAGCTAGAAAATTGGCTTTACATCGTGCTTATCCTGATAGTTTTATGGGTTCTGATCTTGGTGATTTTCAACAATATAAATTCAGAATTCCTAGACCATTTTCTGCCCCCGCTTCTCCTAAAATTAAGGGTAGTAATAATTCGGATAGTGTTGATGATATATCAGAACAAATGGCTGCTTTTGGTTTTGGGATGGGTCACGATGATGAAGATGAATATCCGTTTCCTATGATCTTAAAGAGAAGTGACTCATCAAGAAATTTATTTACTCAGAATGAATTGCCAAAATAACCTACCCAATATTTAATTGAATTAGTTATCGTAATAGGACTTTTTTTTACATTAGGTTTGGTTAGGATTAAAAAAATAAATAAATAAAAAAATAAATCAAGTATCAAAAGAAATTCGAAAATAATTATTCTGTTTTAGTTTGATTAAAAAAAAAAGGAAACCGGTGTACTTGCAAAGATCATTATTTGGTTGAAGTTATCTTTTAATCACATATGTATATTTATTTTCTTTTAAACAAAAGTAAACATTTAATTCTGCTTTGGAAACGATGGTTACGGCTTGAAAAAAAAATGTGATAAAATCATTTTATTTTTTTAAGAAATGGTTGAATTGATTTATTTATCATTTAGCAAATTTTGTATAAACATCCAAATTGTCATATAATAATTCTACTAAAATTAAACATTAATGTGAAATTATTAAAGATGAATCAACCGAGTTGTTTAAAAATTATACTCTAAATATGGTTATAGCTTTGTTTGAAATTATCCTTCCACAAATATATATTGTAAAAAATGATTAAATGATTAAAAATTGTTTACGTTTTTGAAGGTCGTTTTTTTTTTCATAACACTTTTTTCTTGAACACGTAAATTGAACATGTAAACATGATAACAATATTCACATACATGCTGATCTGATTATCGTTATCAGTAGATAAGTATTAATTTCTATTGACTTTTTTTTTTTTATTGTAAATGTCTTTCCCGGAATTACTACGTAGATCACGTTTAGCCACTTTTGACCCTTCATTACCACAAGTTTATACATCGTATGGACGTTATAAAACTCGTGGCGAATGGGGTCTAAAACGTAATCTTCCTTCATTCTTACGTACCAATGTTATAACAGTTGGTGCATTGGATACCATAGAACATCAAACTCCATATAAAAGTGCTGAAACGATGGTAAAATTCACCAAATGTTGGAAAGAAAACTTTCCTTTATCAAAAATGGTTAAACCTAGAAAAGATGAACCTAGTGTAATTAACATTGGTAAAATGAGTGATAAAGAATTTAAAAAATTCTTAAAAAAAAAAGTTGAGCCAAGAAAATATGAATGGAGAAAATTAATTAAAGAATTTGATGTAATTGCTTCTACAAAAGTTGATGAATCTGGTTTGACCTCTGTAGAATCGGCTACTAAAAAATATCCAGCTTTTAATGAATTTTTGAACATTAGTTATGAAAGAAAATCACCTAATATTCAAGGATTAACTTATTCATATAATAATCCTGGAACTAATATCAAGGTTCAAGGTAGAACTTTAAATCGTGATATACCAGGTGGTGTTGCTGTAGGAGTTAGTGGAATTGTTGCAAATTTAGTATCTCAAAAAGCCACTTTGTTAAATCGAATTAATCGTGAAAAACTTGAAACTTTTTACGTTGAAAAGGCTGAATTTAATGAACATGGAAAACCATCGGTTAGAGTTTCTAAGGCTCCAGTTTATAGTATACATGATGGATTAGATAGTTATTATGGTGGTATAGGTTCACGAAAACCATTTAGACACTTTTTTGATTCCGCTACTCCTAAAAGGTTGGATGATGGTAAAGATGAAGAAGAAATTCTTACTAGAATTCGAAGTTTATTATCTGGATTATCAGAAAATAAGGAAAATGATGAAAAGACTACAGATATTAATAGTGACACTGAACCTATCCAAACTAAATATGATTCTTAAATGATTCTTAAATCATTTTACACTTAATACAACGTTAGTTCATATGTAAAAATTAACTAATTTCTTATTTGTTAATAAATAAGATTGTTGGCAAAGAGACGTAGATTTAAGTTTAATTATGTAGGTTCGAAATTAGATTAAATATAAATTTAGATCAGTTTATCATTTAATATTAGTAGCGCTAAATAGCGCTAAAGGGTGTATTAATGGAAATAATAACAAAAGACTATAACGTTCAAAATGTATAAATAGTCTAATTTATCGCACTTGTAGAAGGACAGTTCGAAAATAACTCAATAATAATAAAGGAGTAATCATGTCTTCATACACGAGCAACTCAAATACTTTATTAAATAAAACTAACAATCCCCTAGAAGAGTAATCGTGTCTTCATACACAGATAACTCGAATAAATCGTAGATCGGTTATAGTGTCTTCATACACGTATAACTCGAGAACTAAACCGTAAACCTGTTATACGACTAATTGTATCTTCATATACATTTAGCCGTTGCCTCTTTCGTAATTGCAAATCATCCTAATCCTCTTACAGCGTAACTGCGCCAAACAACTATATTTTACTTAAGCATGGAATTACTTAACCTACCCGTCGGAACTTCTAAGAAGTAGTTTTGGGTGTAACAGTACTGGTAATTTATAAGTCAGAAAAATACGAAAAGATTTTATTGATACGGATGTGTTAAATTTGTAAGTTTTTTTTGTTTATATAATTTAATGATACATTTGTATGATAGATATGTTATCTGGCTTATCGAATTGAATTATCTATGTTTCTTTTTCTTTCTTTGCAATGCTTCTAATTCATAATTTTATAATGGCAACGAATTTTTTTTTTTAATAAATAATAAATTATGAATCAAAGGCATTACAATTACGCCAAGAGCCAAATAATTTCGATACCCATGTATAGTTCAGAAACTACAACGATCTTTACGGAGACGTCTCACCTCTCCAACATCGATAACGAAAAGAGATTAATTGATGAAGAAGTTATTGATTTATTCCAATATTTCATTAAAAATGCTGAACAAGTATCTCATGTAGAATTAGCCCTCTCTGCCTCCCGAAACGATAATATGAGGCTCAACCTTTTGAGGACTCTAATAGCTCCTACATTTGGTATGTTCTCACACGAAATGTAAAAGACTTGTATGACTTTTTGATAGCCGTAGTTTCATTCTCGTCTGCATTGTGTCACACATTCTCAAAAATTTTTTTTCTCTTGGCTTATTGCTTTCGTCTTTGCCGGAAGATCAAAGTAGGTGCTCCTTGCGAACCTATTACAATGTTATATATTTTGAGCAAGTTTTATATGATTTATTTATTTATTCTTTCAGGAAAGCATAAGAGTCCCGAAGATTACAATCACGATAGATGTAAGATATGCTGAAGTGTCTCTTTTTTGTAACCAACGTTAAGTGATCTTCATATCATATTTTAGTCGCAACCATCGAAGGAATGAAAATGTTTGCCAAGGCACTCCCATGGAACAAGCTGAACGTAATCCCACCTTCTCAATCCATCATATCTCTTCCTGACAACATCCGTTTTCTTAGTAATAAAAATTTGGTTCGAAAATTTTCGTCCGGAAAGCATATACAGAACTTTTGGAGATTATTGCTAAACAGCATCCTGAGGTGACTTCCTGATTACAGGAAATCCAGGAACTGGAAAAACTTTTTTCATTCTTTTCTTATTATACATACTTACTGGTATGGGTAAAACAGTAGTCTTTCAGCAAATTCCTGATCGAAGCACATGTTACAAATTCAGCAATGGGACTGTGGAGTGTACATCAATACTATCTATGCGTTCTGTTCTTTCTAATCCAAAAGTATATTATCTTTTAGACACTATGGAACCTCAAATAAAACCATGTGATGCCCGCAGGATTGTTGTATCCTCACCGAGTAGAGAACGATACAAAGAATATCAAAAAGAAAAGTTAGTTGATACAAGGATAATGCCGACGTGGGATTTGGAAGAATTGGAGGCCGTCCATCAAAGTATCTATCTTAACACAAATTTTACTAAGCTGAGAGAACTATATGCTTTATGGGGTGGAATACCTAGATATGTTGTAGAAAAGGCGGAAATGGAAAGTTCACAGATTCTTCTTGAGATGGCTTTAGCTACAGCTGACTTCGATAAAATAATTCAAAATGTTGAAAACATTGAATCAAAAAAGGATGCGAGTCACCATCTAATCCATGTTATCTGTAATGAAAAATACCTGCAAACGGGAATCATATTCGCCTCCAAATGGGCGGCTGATAATCTACTTAATCGTTTCGAAAAGTTATGCTTTGAGAAAATCAAGTCATTTCTTCTCTGGAGTGGAATACAACCAGTATGTAGTGGACTGAGGAGACAACTTTTCGAAGCATACGCGCATAAAGTTCTAGTTAGAAGAAATAGCACTTACCGAATTCGGAATCTTGAAGATGGAAAAGAGTTCAGAAACATTTCACAGCATTTGAACATGGTTTATTTACACAACTCTCAGATATTGATCGAACTAAACACGAGGGGAAATATTGTCAACCAAAATCAAATTCATTGATGCTTTCGTATTGGGTCAAGATAATACAACCATGTTTTTTCAAATGACAGTATCAAGCAATCACCAGATTAAAGCACGTGGGTTGGAAAACGTTATGAATATTGGAAGCTATAACTCTTACGAGTTCTACTTTGTTGTTCCGCCTCTAGATGATACAAATAGAAAGAAACTAAGGCGTCTCTCCCAGATAACTCAGTATGTTTTGGAAATGCCATTATATTGATAGCCCATGACTTCGCTACAGTAGTTATATATAGTTAATAAAGTTTTAATTTGGTTGAAAAATAGTGCTTTATGCTCGCGGTCTAATTCAACATGAATAAAGGACCAAATGTGTAGCAGCCTGTTCTAAAATATTTTTAATAATAAACTAGTATGTTTCGCTTCCGATTTTAAAAAATTAAAAATTACATACGAGATTGGGGTGTGCGAATATAGGATAACTTTCTCGTGATTGGTCGATCACATGAAATTGAATAACGCTTTACGATTGGTCAAATTATTAGATC